ATCCTCAGAAGGAGCTCAAGTAACGATTTGATAGAGCAAACCGTATAGAAAACAGTGCAACTTTTTTCTCTTTTTCACATTCGCCGTAAATTTTCAAAAGATTTTTAAACAAAACCATTGAATTTTGGCAGGCCTACATCAGCCACAATCTTATCAAATATCATAATTAATCGGAATTTGAAGCTACTAAGGTGCTATTATGAGTTACCACTAATTTTATAAAGCAAGTGGAGAGTTTACGGGTTCGAAATATCAAATTTCCGGGTACAGCCTGGGGTCCGCTACAAAAATGAGTTATGATGATTTCATCCCCGAAAACTGAACGAATCGGAAACAAAAAAAAACATGTAAAAAGAGAAAAAATGCTGCATCGAATAGTGCCCAAGCAGCTCTTCTGTTGATGTTCTACGAGGATTTAGCTGTCCAAGTATGAAAATCGGTAGCATCGATTGAAAATCTGTTAAAAATGTGTGACAAGATATGAGAAAGAAAAAAAAATTGCTCTGTATTCTATAAGGTTTGCCCTATCGAACCTTCAGTTGAACTCCTTCTGAGGATTGGTATGAAAGTTTTAAAAGATTGTGAAACTTGACTATTTCAAAAAGCATAGGCCGCAGATTTTAGTTATTTTCTGAAAGCTCATTCACTATTTTGCAACAGTTTCAGAACCATTAGAAAGAGAATGTAATGTTGCATCGAATGCCTTCAAGCACTCTTAGAAACCTTGGTTCCATCAGATATGGCCCCCTTTTGAAAAGAGCGAAATTACTTTCGGAATGACCTAATAGTTCTACAGGTTTGTATTGTACAACTACCTATGTGGGGACGACACAGCATCACTTTGGCAAAAGCAAGAAAATTTCCGTTTTCTTGATTTCTATCAGAGGAAAAAATACGGGAAAGGCGTATATAGATGTCTTATGTGGATAGTGTTTACGAGAGCAAGTAAGAATTTTTGTGGGATTTTTATGAACTGAGTTACAGTTTTTTTCGATTTTTCGGGCTGCTGAGTCTTTTTAGTTTCTGGCTTGAAACTCGAGGTAGATGAGAGCTGCTGCAAAAGTATAATGGCCATCTTGTAGAGCTTGCTTTGCTCTATCGAATGGTACTTCGCAACCTATTTAAAATTGAGAAATGTACGACTTATTGCGATTGAAATTCAAAACGGGTATTAATTTTTGGACAACCTAATATTTCGGGTAGACGTTTGTGTTCTCAAATAAGAATCATTTTGAGTGCATGCACTTTTGCAATATTCGAAGCCCAAACATCTAAGAACTTTGTTTCTTTGGCCAAATGAGCTTAGCACAATTTTACTAACAATGGCTTGGCACAAAAGTGCTTCTATCTTGCTAGCATCTCACACTCTCATTGCGAGAAAAAGCTGTTCATACGATAGACAGATGTACGGCGTTGGATAGAGTGCTGCCGCAGTTCACGGCCTTCAGTCGGTTTTCTGACCCACTTCCATAGAATGGCGGCAGGGGTGGGGTGGAAGGCCTGGTCGGACTTGATCCTTGAGTGGCTGTTCCTGCATCGAGTATTTACATCGAGCTGACTCTTGTACTAGCTCTGTTTCTGACAGATCTCCTAAGAGCTTAGGAAAATATCAGGAACTTTGCTGAAAAGTTAGCCCGAGGGTACTACGCAGAGATTTGCAGAACTTTCAAAATTTCCATCTAACCTTCACTCTGTGTAAGATCAGCATTCTAAAACCACTGAAGGTCACCAAGTCGAAGTGGATTCAAATGTCTTTTAGAGTAGAGAAATCTGTGAGCCGGGGAACTTCAAACACATCACAATTTTCACTTGCTTTTTCTGACCGGGGATTATTCGTATATCAGAGGATAAGGCATTGACTCAGATGACTGAGTCATGAGAGCGTTTCCATACAGATATCTGCTCACCAACAGTATTTGACCATGACCAAAATACGTGCGATTTATGTGCACAAGAGTTTGACATTGGAGAGCGATATCAAACAAGCGATTTGAAAAGAAATTGAGGTAAAAAAACGAAGAAAAGGCAACGATTGAAAATGCTGCTGTACAATGTAGAAATGTCTTTATGCTCAGGGACAGATGCTAATTGTAGGATCTTTACGTTAAATCGAATACTTACGACTTACAAAAATTTATGCTTTGTTCACCTTTATTGACATCTTATAGAAAAGTGCGTAATTTTTGATATAGCAACATAAAGTAATTAGCCTAATTTTGTGGCAACCTTTTTTTTGCTAAAGGCTGCAAAGATGCACTAGAAGAGTTCCATTTTGGGGAAATCATTAACTATCAGAAGCTTCATTTCTCTCGTGTTCTAACGAATACTTGTTTTTAGAAAAATAGACAGAATGCTAAAAAAGATGCTCTTCCACTATCCGTTTTGTTTATATTTATGATCTGCGTATACAATGACGCTAGAGCAAAACAAAAGTATTTGTACAGAGTGGAATGTCAAAGTCAACAAGGAAGAATCCGAGGTTAGAACCTAGCTTTGACGTTATGTGTTTACCATGACTTCTGCTTCACACAGCAGGGGTTGCCTAGGGACTCGGGCAGAGTATAAGAGATTCGATCGTCGCGATTCAATCGCTAAAGACGATTACGAGTCCATTGCATGCTCTTCTTGCGTTTCGGTTGTGATAGTTAGTCACAATTAGTCGTGTTGGAAAACTATCATAAAATGCAAGAAGATCGGCATGCTATGAACTCGTAACCATTGTCTTTAGCGTTTGAACCGCGACGATTAAATCGCGTGAATTTGCCCAAGGCCTAAGGGAATTGTGCCAAAAATATTGGGATACGTGCAGTACATGCGTGCATCAAGGATAGGTGCTTAGCAGTGGCGTACCCAGGATTCGGCTCAGGAGGGGAGGGGGGGGGACAAAAAATTTTTTTTCTGATGAAGGTGAGTGGCGTTAGCCACGCATTACGAAAAACTTTTTGGTATGCTCCTTAAAATTTTCGTGTACTCAGAACCCCGAAATTTTAGAAAAAGCGGGCGTGGCTCAGCCACGTTTCCGAAAAAATTTTTTTATAAGACCAGTTTGAATTTTTTGAATTAAAAAAAAAATTATTCCATTATTTACAAGTGCAGACAAGTCATTTGCACAATTTCATAGCCCATGTAAGTAACTGTCAAAAACGCGACCCGTTCTAGGGAGGGCCCCCCCTCGGTACGCCACTAGTGCTCAGATATCATAAAAGGGTCGAGGAGCAATTTATGTAGCTGCATCGAGATTCGGTGTAGCCTTCAAGAGAGCTGGTCCTTCAGCGTGTGAGGACCTTGATTCCCGTCTTTTGCCTAGTCATCAAATAAAGTATTTGTCGGTTTTGCTCTTTAATTTTACTACAAATGTTGTAGAAAAGCCTAATCCATTGGGGATTTGTGATTTTCTGAGTCACTTGGTGACTCAGACAGCCCACCACATCGAAATCAAGAATGAGCAAAACTCATGTGCATTTCCCTGCTTGGTGAATAGTGAAGCTGAAAAGC